TACCTACATTTGAAATAAATATTATCTATCTCCAAAAGATATTATACATACATCTAGTTTGTTGTAGCTTATAGATTTATTAAACAAACTCAGTCAATTCAAAACTTTTATTTTTCTAAGTCTAGAGGATCAATTACAAAATGGCATTTAGAAATAAAAAAAACAAAACTTAAAAAATAAAGAAGCAATTTTTTTTGATAGAATTTAAAATTAAGACCATTAAAGAAGCTAAAAATAAAAATTTAATACTTTTTTGATATTAGATGTTATAATATATTTGTAATTAAATTTTTAGATACATAATAATTAATTATTATATATAATAAATGAATAATTTATTTTTTAAAAAAAATAAAATTTATTATTTCATAAATTTCCAAAAAAAATTAGTTGTTTCTAAACATTGATATAGATTAAAAATAAAAAAGATATGTAAGTCTTGATGAAATATTTCATCTTTTAAAAAATATAAATAACACATCAAATTTTAAATATAAATAATCAATAATATTTTTTACTAGATTATCTTTGATATATATATTTATATTTTATCATATTACATATCTTTATACTAATATAGATCACTTTTTATTTATAGCAATCATAAAAAAATCAATAATATTCACTTAAAAAAGCTAAATAAATACTAATGGTGATTTATTGAATTATTATATATAGACAAAAAGAAACACCAACAAAGAAACTTGCTATAAAATTAAATTTAATAAGTAAATATAAGTAAACATCTGTATGCCAAGTTTTCTTTCATGTTAGAAACATGATAGACTTAGCAAACATCTCCAAGTGCTTCCTACTTTACGATTTGCAAATATTAGAGTAAAACCAACACACATACAAAGGTTCAAATAAAATGTTTGCAAACTCAAGTTCAACTCTACAAATGTCTCACTTCTATTGAATGGAGCTTCTATTATTGGAAGAACTTATTTCTTGAGATTATCACATTCTTGAATTATAATATATATATATATATATATATATATATGAGCCAAAACTTGTGCTATTGAGCATGATAAAACATTCTAAACTCTGTGTTTTAAATTAACTTTTGGTTTGAAGCTTCATATGATGTAAAACTCCATGTTACACCTAGTTCTACATTGTGGTGTTTCCAAGCTCCATGCCAAGTAAACTTATAGTGCTACTCTTGGCAATTTGAAACAACAACATATATATATATATATATATATATATATATTGCTACTTTTTGTTTTACTTTTTACAAAAACAATGAGATATACCTAGTTGGTTTATCCATTTGAGATGTTTTATACATATATATATATATATATATATTCACATTAAAAGAGAGATGTGTTGAGAACAAACAGTTGCATACATAGTGCATGAAACGGAGTGCAGACTCAAGCATGATCGAACAAGTTCGATCAGCGTCGACTTGAAGATAGTCATAGAATGATTCCAGTCAACCAGGGGGGTGGGCTTATTCGATCATGAGCAACACACAAAACACACACAAAAATAAAAACCAGCACGCAAAAATCTCACTGGCTGCTATCACAAATGCCAGTGCCACCAGGTCTAGCGCAATGCTTCACTCAATCATTCATGCATGCATGCACAGGAACACCTGATAGATTGTGTGTGTGCAACGTAACAGACTCGGGGGCCAGCTCTCTCAATGCGGGCTGATTATGCGTGATCGACAAAAGTGGAAGACAACATCGGCACTCTCACTCACTCACTCACTGCAGAGGAGTAATCGACCATGTGGACATCCTGATATCGATTCTGGTGATGGATGGCCTGTCTCATGGTCTCTGAGAGCGCCTGGACCCTCCCTCACTCGCTACCACCCATGAATCCAAAGAGACGAATGGATTGGAGCGGAGGTAGATCGGATGAGGTTTCAGTCGCACAAGTGAGAAGGAGGAGGAGGAGGAGCAATTCAACGAAGGAAGAACCGTGTCTGCCATGTTCATCTGTTACGCAAGAACTAGGAGGGTACTGCTCACTACTACTCCTCAGCAGTAGCAGCACCACGTTGAGCAGGATTTACCATGATGAGAAGGTGGACCTGCACAGGCTTGTTGTTTGATTATGAACCAGGTCACCGCGGGATCGTTCAAGTGTGTGAGGAGCAAATGCCAAGCATGTAGTGGGGTACATCATGTTGGAACTAAATTATACTAGGTCAGTGTTCTGGGAGTAATACCCTAGTCTTCACGACGAGCTGCAGCATAGGCGTCTAGGGTGCTGCGTTCGCAACATACAGATAGTCACTGCAGGCTACACTATGCAGGAAAATAACCAGACGAACATTACTTAAACCATTGAGGAGAAATGGGGTCTCGTTGACATAGCTGTAAGAATGGCCAGCCGTGAAGTCTATGTTCTGCGAGGAATCGAAACAGTGACACCGAAAGCGCCACCATTGTCGAACCCCCATCGAGTTTATCTGTACATGCATGCTATTAGTGCATGGCAATCAGTACAGCGCCGCAAACAGTGCTCCAGATTCACGAAAGTCTTCGATTCGCAGGGGTTCTCCAAAACCACGCGTGCAGTGCGATACGTTACAGATTCACTTGCATCCGCCCATCACCTCAGTGCACTTGACAGGCCTCGGTTTCATTATCACTCATGCGTTTGCATCTTTGCAAGAGACGGGTCACTGATGCGAGAAGCTGCATACACGACCGATTATATCTACATTGTGGGCACAGTTAGTAGAGGATTGTGCCGACTTAGGTGGAGCAGAAGCTCTGCACCACCAGTGCCGCAGACCCACCCCTTTGTGCCGACACCTCTTGACTGCTTTTCTGTAGCACATTTTGTGGACTTTCTTCCATCTTCTTCGTTTCGAAATTTCATGAACTGCGTGCTCAGATTGAAAGGTGGAATCCTTTGTTTCCATCCTTTCATGTGCAAATCTGTGAGCTTTTCATAATATCATGTATATCTCATCGTTAATTTTTCTGGCCAAGGTTTGCCCTCATTGCACACAAACCCACTTGATTTTTTTTGATGATTTTTTATCTTTCATATCAGAGTGTAGTGTTATTTTTTTAGGATTTGAACACCAGTTTAGGATTTAGAATGAAATGCAGTGCTAATGGTGATGTGAGGCTTTCGTTGTTTTTGCTTTCTGCACTGATTTTGAGGAGGTTTCTGTTGGGGTGTTTTTATTTACAGACCAATCCATACACAGTTGCATGCTCGCAGTGTTCATAAAATTATTTTATTTCTCATTAATTACTTTATTATTATTGTTGGTCCTTGCCTCTTGTTGAGTTTTCATCTCTCACCAACTTGTCTTATCGCCTCTTAATCAACAATCATTTACTCATATTAACTCCACTTGTATTCTCTCTATTAATTTGCATGTGCTTCATGGAACACTCCATTTTGTAGATTTATAATTACCTTAATGCAAGTGCCATATTTCTATGTTTAAAATAGAAGTCTTGTTATTGTGTGCATAAATTGGTTGACCGTTGCATTTACCAATTAAAGCCATTAGACATTCAACAACTTTTTCCTAAGTTGAAGACAGGGCGCCTTTATTTTATTTGTGTTTAATGGTTATCTTTAATTAAGGACTTTGATTACATCCCAATACTTGAAGCATCAAAGTATAAATTACAAACAAATTGTTGAATTCTAAAAATGTAGAAAGTGAAATTAAACATTTAAAATACTATTAAGTCGTTCAGATATAGTGGTTCCTTATTTGCATACATCAAAGATTATAACTACTTGGAATATTTTTTTTAATACTGAATTAATTTGATTTTGAAATTGGATGTTGAAATTAATGTTTTAATAATGGATGTGCCCAATTTTGAATTGTGACCAAAATAATATAAAGTTATTTTTAAGAGTAGAGTATTAAATTTTATTAGAAATACAACTAAGTCTTTCCTGTTAACAAAATAATATGATTAAAATTGGACATGTTGAAAACAAAGTGAAATACAATAGAATACATCTTTGTGTAGTTTCATTTGTGTTTAGATATTGTGTAACCTAGGCTACCGCCTAATTTTTATTGTTTCATAATTGTAAGATTATTAATGATATTTTATTGTAGAAATATTATTGATTGTTTGTTATGGCATGTTCAACATTTTATACTACTTTTATTGAATATTATTGTTCATTCGTGTTAATTAAAGAAAACATGTGTGCATACACATAGTAAAATTATGGACACGGTAGATTTTTGTAAAATCTTCCTAACCAATAACTTAAGTTACTAACCTAGTGTTTTACAACAACATGCTATATATATATATATGTATGTATGTATGTATGTAAACAAATAATTAGAGGACATTATTTTTATTCAATCTAAAGTTTCTCATCAATAATCATGTATTTATCAAATCATATACATTAGTTTCTATCAGTTTTGTGTAACATGGCCAACTTGCTTTACATTGAGTGCTTACAGAATAAAAGATATTTACAAAATCACTAAACATATAAGCCGGCACAAAAAGTTATATGCATTATGTAAATAATACATTGAGATCAAGGAGAATTTGAACACTACCATCAAATAATAAATAAATAAATAAATCAACCATCTTACATTTTATGAGAATATCATCACTCATCTACCCAGTGATAGAAATTTGTTTTCCACTTGAAAATTTAGTTGTATCCTCATCAAGACAAAATTCCCCAATTATCTTGGCATTTGTCTCAGCAAAAAACAAGGAAAAAGAAAAAGAAAATGAAAAACAGTGCCCTTTTTTATTACTTTTATTATTTCCATTACAATTATTAAAAAAAAAAAATTACATAAACTGCTCTCATCCATATTATCTCTCACCACTACCCACTTGCAAACAAAATTCACCCTAAATTTTAATTTTAAATACTGTACAGTTCTTCATTTTTGTGCTTTATGGAACAAGGCAATTAGGGTTTCAAGATTAGGGTTTCGAGGTTGGGATTTGGGGATTAGGATTTGGTGATAAGCTCGAGACTCGCGACGCGAGGTCGGTTTCCGAAACTAGTTGTCGAATTCCGCCCACCAACCCGAAGAATAAATCGATAACGGAGACTGCACTAGAGATTGGCGGCGAGCGGTTGAATGGTAGCTGCATCGCAGTGATGGCTTCAGACGACGTGTTGGACTCGCTGTTAAGGCGGTGAAACCCTAATTCCTTCCGAGCTGACGCCGAGCACTTTTGGCATATTTTCACGACGAAAACGAGGCGCACGGGAGAGTCAACTGGCAAGCACCACCGAAAAGAGATGGCGACGACGGAGGAAGAGGAGGAGGATGAAGTGGACCCCACTCTCAGCGGAAACATTCGCGGATTGGTGCCGAATCCGACATGTGTCGCAGCATAATCATGCCTATGCGTTGGTCTCCACGGTGGTATCTGTCTGATTCACATTCGTTTGTATTGTTATCTTCGTCTTCTTTTTGTTTTTTGTTTTCCTGTTTCTTTCTTTTGAACATCTATGTGCCAGTAGCATTGCACTGTGGATGGCAGTTGCTAGCCTGTAAAATTGCCTAGAAAATCTGGATGTCACCGCACCTGATGCTTTATCTGGAGTCCAGTTCTGCTCGTGCTCGGTGGCCAAGCAACAGAAGGACCCGGTCCCATGGATGGAAAATTTCGCCAAATTTAGCCGTGATTGGATCGGGAACCATCAACCTGATCTTTGACAAGCTCACCCTCATCTGGCGGAATTCGCAAGAGGTTACAGTGAGGAGGAAGGATAAGTAACATTACATAGATGTGCCCAATTTCTCGTGGGTCGAATGGGGGAGTTTATTTGTGGTGTCTGATGTCTGGCGGAGATGACCACGTGGTGGCAGACGCGACGAATTAGGGAGCGGATTCGGCTGAGGATTGCATCGGAGGGATTATCTGAGTGTGATCCCTAAGTTTCAGAGCGATGCCGCGGTGTTAAGAGTCTGGAGAGAGGGTGGCGTGCCTTGCACTTGGTCAATTCCTTCTGGAGGGTATCTTTCCGAGGAATATGAAACAGAACACGGGTTTTGTCCGTTAGTTGATTTGAATCCGGATGGATTGTGGCAGAGGATGTACAGTGAGTAGGCCCAGGTAGAGAGGTCGGGAGAAAAGTTCTTACTTATTGCTTCGATGAACCGAACTCTCTTTGAACCCAGAGAGGCGTCTGTGACGAGACTTGACGGCAAAGTCAAATCGTCAAAGCCTCTGGGACCAAGGAGAGCTCCTTGGCTATGGTGAGTGCCCACTTCGTCTGCCGATGGGGATGAAGGGGGAGGAGGTTGTCAACGAGGAGCTTCTTTAACCTCGTTCGAACACCTGGTACCTGCCGGCTACTTAAATGTGCTCGTGCACGACATACTGTTTGTAGACAACGACTTTCAGGGGGCGGCAAGGATGATGGCGGAAGCGATTGTGGATGGAGATGGTGATGACGTTCCAATAGAGGCATTCATGTTGTGATTGATTGTTCACAGACTCAGGGAAGCGTTTGGTTGTTGGCACGCCAGGGTTTAGGGCTATGGAAGATGGCGATGATGGGGCGGGGGTTGGGGAGGAGAGTGAGAAAAAGATTTGTTGTGTAGCACCCCTGTGATGTTGGTGTTTGGGACGTTCCTGAGAGTTTCAATGCAACGTTCTTGTGATCGCGTGAATGGATAGGTTCCGAGAACTTAGAATCATGCTGAGGTTTTGCGAGGAGCGGTGTCGATCAGGGTTTAGTGTGGCATGAGGCGTTGCAGCCGACAACGGAGGTCTTGGTTTCCATGATGGCGAAGCATCGGGAGAAAGTGACGATTACGGAGCCGGTTCAAGGTACGACTGCATCGGGGAAATTAAACTTCGGTACCAAAGCTTTCCATCACAGATTGCCATTTTTCACGGGGCACAAGACGAAGACTATTTCGCTAGGGGTTCATTTCACCGGACCGGAGAATCAGGATGAGGCGGAGTTGGAGAAAACTGCGCAGAAGGCCAAGTTTAGGTCGCTAGAGAGCAGTCCTGAGAAAGATAGCCCGCCCACCAGGTCCAAGATCGACAGCGGCAGTACAGGTAGCGCCAGCCACAACTGGTTGAGGAAACAGAAAAGCATTGGTCCAAATATGCAGAGGAATAATACCATGGAACTCCAACCAACATCCAAAAGCAAGAAGGTCAAGTTCCCCGCCATGAAAAAATCCGCGTCGTGGGCACACTTCGTTGAAGTCTCTCAAGCGGAAGCACCGCATCTGGAGATGGAGGTGCCAGAGCAATACGTCTGCGACATGTCAGCACTCTTCCTGGGGCAGAGGTTTGCGTCCGGCAATCACAGCCGACTCTATCAAGGTGTCTATAGGGACCAAGACGTTGCTGTGAAGCTCCTCAGGCTCGACAGTTGTGAAGATGCTGCAACTGCCGCCAGGTTGGAGCGCCAGTTCATGCAAGAGGTTCATTGTCTCTCCCAGCTCCGTCACCCTAACATTGTAGAGTTCGTAGCCGCCTCATGGAAACCCCCAGCGTGCTGTGTCATCATGGAGTACGTCCCCGGCGGCTCCCTGAGAGCATTTCTTCACAAACATGAATCAGGATCAATGGCGTTAAAGACGATTCTGTCGATGGCATTGGACGTTGCGCTAGGGATGGAGTATTTGCATTCTCAAGGTGTCGTCCACCGTGACCTTAAGTCGGAGAACCTCGTTCTCACCGAGGATCTCCACCTCAAATTGACAGACTTCGGGGTCGGTTGTTTAGAAACGGAATGCGATCTCCGGATTGCTGACACGGGCACGTATCGCTGGATGGCTCCCGAAATGATTAGCCACAAGCACTACTCGAAGAAGGTGGATGTCTACAGCTTCGGGATAGTCTTGTGGGAGCTCGTTACGGGGCTGGTGCCGTTCCAGGATATGACTCCCGTGCAGGTAGCGTATGCGGTGGTGAACAAGAATCTAAGACCGCCAATTCCTGAAGATTGTCCCGCGGAGTTAGCGGATTTGATGGAGCAGTGCTGGAAGGACAACCCAGAGCGACGTCCCAATTTCTACCAGATTGTACTAATTCTTGAAGACATGGAGAATTCATTATCTGGCCCTGGCGTCTGCGTTACTCCAGCTCATCACCTCTTGACGAGACAAACAGTTGGGTTCTAGTATCCTTGTGCAGGATTACTCTGGAGATAATTTCTTTCTTAGTTTTCAGACCGTACTTCCATTCTTTGTAATAATATCTCACACTCGAAACCTTAACGAAACAAAAAAAATAAAAATAAAAAATCATGTGAGTTTTCGAAGGAAATTGAGCTTCATTCAATCCTTGCATTTTGCCGTCTGTTCACAGCATTGGTCTGAGCTCTTGGTCCTTCAATGTCCTGGTGCTGTTCAGCTTCTGTTCTACCCTGAATTCAGGGCTCAAAATCTGAGAATATTGTATATATTTGTCATGTACATGAAGCTATCTCCTACAGTGTATTGTCATGGAGAGCAGTAATCCTTGTAGTTGTCGGAATGGTTGCATAGCTCAGCATATTCTGCTGAGTAATTCACATTGATCCCAGTGATATGTCCAGTCACATATTCCATAGAACCACACTAATATCTATCGACAGTGCTCCGAGTGTAGTCATGTGTTTTTCATTGTAGCAAACCCGGATGCGACGATAGTTTCTCGTTGGAAAGCTGGAAACCAGTTTGCAGTAATCCCGGGCCAAAGTGGATCTCACATCCTTGACGGTGTCGATTTTGTTTTATAAAAATAATCGGCAATCCCATGAGATCACGTCCAGAGCTGCTGCTTTAGCTGGGAACCATCCAGTGAGTTCCGTAAAACCCCTTCGAGAGCTTGGAACGCGAGGTGAATATGCCTCCATGTCACTAAAGTGGGCTTGTGGGGTTGTCTTTTCTCGCCACTGCCGAGTGAGTAGAGGCTTTAATTTCTTCTATTGTCTGGACTGTGTTGAGAGCTCGGATGCTCACGCCGCTTTTTTTTAAAACTCCCAGTGGATCTGTTTTTTGTCGCTCTGATCCATAGTCCACAGTGCACTATGGATCCATTGATTTGCAGATTTATTCCAGCCTCTCATCAATTATCACGCCAGGAAGTTTCATATCCTGGGCTCTCGAGAGACCCATGATGATAACTTGTGTCTGTTACACGCCCAAAACGGTGTATCTCGTCTGACTTGTTTGTTGTGTAGCAGAAGTTGTAAAAAGACTTGAATGATGAAGTGCGGAGAATCGAATATTGACTTGCTCGTGCTTCTGAAACCCTTCTACGTGTCACGCGGACAGCGAATCCCTTACATCTTGAGCATTTTTGGATTTTGAGATGCGATGCTTTCCGCGATCGAAGTACAAATGAATCCAACCGCATGTCTGCAAGCATTTACTACACATCCGCACTTAAGTATTTGGGAGAAAGAATTTCAGTGACTTAAATAGAATGAACCCTGAATCTCGGTGACGGTGTCCTGTGTGAACATCTGCAGAAACAGAAACAAAAGCAAAAACAGTGTAAAGAAGAGAAAGACGGTCGGGGTCGATTTTTCTCATCCATCCTCATTAGCAGCAAATTCAGTCGGTTTCTGCCAAACCCCAGGGGCGGGAATCAGTGGCATCACAAGCCTGCGACAGGATCGATCCCAAATTATCGAAGTTTAGTTTGTAATCTCGTGAGTTTGTCTCTTCTCTTCAGGTATTGCTAATTTTTTGTTGTATAATTTTCACCCCACAGTGAAAAGAATGTTTTGGTGTCTTTGTTTACGCTCACAATGCTAGGGTTTTCATGTATATCGGGGCCCTCTGTAGTGTGAGACAGAAGAAACGCTCTGATTGTGGTCGAGGAGATTGTGCGTGTGTGGGGTTAACGGAAGCATGTGGGATCCTGTTTATGTGGCGTTGTGGATGTTGAGCGTGGTTGTAATTTAGGTCATTGTTAATTTTCGGGTGGTTGGAGTACCTTGAGGTGTTAGGGTTTATGTGGATTTGAGAAAGGGGTTCTTGGATTGAATTGTAATTTGATATGTGTAGAATTCAGGTGTTTGGATGCGTTTTGATACGTTTGTGTAAGTATCTCGCTAGTGTCCGAAATTGCGATAGAATGTATGTACAATCAAAGAAAATCAGTCAGTTTTATTTTATTTCGTTTCATTCATCCATCAGGCAGTTCTTTGGTACGCAATTGTGTTCAAAATTTTACCTGAATCCGCACGAACGAGCTCTAGTGACCTTTCTTAGTTCAATTCTTTAATATTTGCAAGAATTTGAGGGTTTTCGAAACTGAATTGTGATCCCGAATTGTAATTTTGTTTGTGTTGCGAGGAAAAGAGAACCGATTCGATACTATTAGGGGTTGTGTATGGTTCAATTTTTCCGTGCACAGGATAGATAGCCTTCCCTGAGGTTCTAAGTGATTTGAAAAATTCATTCTCCATGCTGCTTATTTGTGCATTGATACAGCATTGCTCTCCATTCAACTTTGATTGATCAATTGAATTGCTCGCTTAATTTTGTGTCTGTTTGGTCTGCTGTGAAGATCAAGGAGAAGGATGGTGGAGTGGTGGTGGGGTGTTGTAGGGACGGTTGTCCCTGCATTGGTGGTTCGTCAGGTGATTCAGAAGACTCGTAACCGTGAGCGAGACCCGCTCCAGGGCAAGGACACGAAAGACCTCACTAACCAGTTTGTGTGTGAGCGCGTCTGCACGTCGAAGAGAATGCTCAGTAGGGTTGGAGCTTTCTCCAATGGAACCACTTCAGATACTTGTGTCACAGTGTGCGGTGTTAGCGAGGTGGATGCTTGCTCCGAAGCTTGTATCCGTTCTGTCTGTGCGAATGCACACCATGTTCCGAACTGGAATGACGTTTGCTCACGTCGGTGTCAAACCCAATGCATTAAGTCAGGTGCTTGACCGTCACTTTGCTATGAATTTCTGGCGATGTCGGTCAAATTTTCTTTCAAGGGATATATATGATATCACAGGCCACCTAAAGATGACATTCAATGCAGTCTATTTAGCACTCTTCTCCAGGTTCAATATTTTTCCACTTGCACCGAAGTGACCCACAATTCCTTCATTTCTTTATCTTGCTGCTTTTTATTCCTCTTGAGGGTCGTGCTTAGTGCTCAAGAATTTCCGTGAAGAGGCACATTCCTGCTGTCTACGTAGCACTGTAACTAACCACTCACCGTTACCTCGAGATGCATATACCGAGCAAAGCTTCCCAATGCCTCTTTGAATAGGTTCATGTTGATACGAAGAATTCGCCATTTGACAGCTCTAAATTCAGGTGAATCGTCTCCCATGCACACTTAGAGCTGCTAGCAATTCATTTGATAACGAGATGGATTGGTGTTCCGCAGGACTCTGACCAGCACACTTCTATGGCAAGCAAAGCAGGAAGATTGTTGTAGTTTTCTAGACTTGCAGTCAATCTTCGAAGCCTTCCTCGTAACATGATGTCTGTGACGGACCTACGGCTGTACATCAAGCATCCCTTGTTCTTGTAAGTTCCCCATGAAAGTTTTTGGCTTGGAGTTGGTTTTATGAGTGTCCATCCATTCTTCTTCTGTGGTAAATCAGAGAATCAGGGAATCAGAGTTTCTATTCCTATGAAATAGCTTGAATCTGAAGCACTTAGCATTTGAAGCTTCTATCTTCATTCCTAGTGCTGCAGTTGACTGTTGGTCTAAGCAGTGGGTGGAGCTTGCAAGTTTTCATGGCCATGTTGACAATGAATTTAGGATTTGTTTCCACTATTGGACGGCAGACTAGATGGCAGGAAATTAGTGTAATTCAATCAAGAAGGAGCCTATTTGTCAAAAAGATTATGTAGATCATTCTTTTATGAGAAGATGTTGAACAGTCTGTTGGGAAAGGAATTTGTAAAAATTAATTCAAAATACTTAAAAACTACATGTGTTGTAAACATTTTATTTAAAATTCTAGATTTCGCTAAAATCGAAGTGTATGAATCATTATAACCTACTATAATTTCTATGATTAGAATTATACAACTTTATTAAATTCAGCTTGTACTAGTAGTTTTATAAACGTGTTTAAATAGGATTTAATTTTTTTTGCAAACATAGAAATGTTTAAAACTAAAATCATTATACAATAAGTACCTACTTTATAACCATGGTTCAAAATGCATTGTATATTTCAAATTGGATTGCAACCACATTAATATGTGGTTACTGTGAATCCTCGCATTATTACTCTAAATCCTCTTATTTCAAATAAGCTATTTAATAATTTAGGTTTGGAAGATTGAAGTTATTTGTTATAAGAGTAAGCAAACATTAGCTCCTATGAAAAATACATTAATTGTTGATCTTCTATTGTAACACTTCTAAATCTTCAAAACTAAGAGATAAAATAAGATTGAATTAGATATGTACATATTGTACAGTAATTTAAAGGTGAAAAATTGAATCAAATAATGTTGTTAAGTGATTAAATTTTATATACATAAAAACACTAAAACGTTAATATATAGTATTTTGTTTAAATAGATAATTTTAATAAAATTTATATAACTTTTGATGTACATTAACCAAATTTGATTTAAGTTTAAATTTTTTCTTTTTTAGATAATAAAAAACTGAAATTTTTAGCAAAATAGCTTCTTAGATGATAAATTAATCTTTGCTTTATATTTAAAAGACTTCATATTTCTTAAATTAGATAAAATAGTATTTTAGAAATATATGAATTGATATATATATATATATATATATATATATATATATATTTAATTTAAAAATTTGAAGATGTTTTCAATTCAAATCTTATGATTTTTTATAACTTTAACTATTATTTTGTATTTATTTATTTATTTCAAATAAGTGTTGTACTTTGATAAAAATTTACTTTTAATTTAAAATTTGTTTGAAATTGTTATCTAAAAATTAGCAAATTTTAATCATTTCTAACAAATCTCTTTGATAATAATAACCAATCTAAATAGAATAGTCAACTTTGGACTAATAATTTTATTATATCATTTTCCTAATATATATATATATATATATATATATATATATATATGTTTTAGGAATTATTATTATTATAAAATTTTATTTGAAAAAAAACTATTTGATACTATTTCTATATTTTCCATAATAGTAACTATTTTCAAACCTACATATTGAAAATAAAGATTTTATAAAGTTGTCTTGTACAATATATTATTATTATTATATATATATATATATTAATTTATTTGTGAACTTTAACTAACTTTATACTATTATAATAAATGTGTGGACATAAGTCTATTCTATCAACCTCAATTTCAAGTTGAAACATTGTTAAATCTAGGCATTTGAATGTTTCTACTATAAAAAATAATTCATCAATAAAGGTTGTGACCATTCCCAAATACTTGACTAGTAACCGTTGTTTGTTTTGGACTCTCAACACCCACAAATGGTCACATTCTTTTCCATATTTGTCTACTAAATCTTAAGTATGCATTCACTATTACAGACAAAATTATATCAGTTATTGCATTCTAAATCCAAGTTTACAAGTTCAACTTCAGAGCATATCTCAAATGCAACTGCAGAAATCTTTGCACTGCTGCTGTTCACTGAATTTGGAATAGTCTTAGTGATTTCATGCTGCAAATGGTCTTGTCATCTCAAAGATAAACGTGGCATAGAAAAGCACATAAGTATTCGAATGCTTGAATTACAGACAAATATGGGTCGATAGAAGTTGCAAATAACAGCAGCAGCTAATTCCTAGTTTTTATTATCTAATATGGCATCAATCACTGCCTGGAAGTTTCATGGTCTCTAATAACTGTTGGCCACTTTCTTGTAACGAAGTGCTATCAGATTGTTCGAGGCTTGCCAGGTCTTTTTGTGCCTCAGCTAGAGCCGCCTTTGCTGGTTCACCATGCTTCTCCAACTCCACTACAATGTGCTTTGCGTTTTCAATTGCTTTCTCCTTCCTACAGTCAAACCAGCAATTAAGTGCATTAAGCAATAAACGCAATATAGGATATTTGATATTACAAATCACTATCTATAAGTGGGCATTTAGCAACTGTAGCAAGAAAGTTTCCACATCCTGTTGAACAGTGAAAATACAGTTTCTGAGTAGTTTTCGATATTATTTCAAACAACCAGCAGCTACCGTTGTGTGACAAAGTTACAAAATGTGCTTAGTTCAGAGCACAACAAAATTAAGACCACGTATTTAGATAGTGACCATCTTTAAGGAAGAGAAGTTGAGGAGATAAATACCTTCCCAAAGTAGCATAGACTTGCATAAGATTGTAATAAACTGCAAGAGTGTCTTGCTGGCCAGGTCCATGTGTCTGTGTCAAGATTCTTTTAGACTCTTCAAAAAGCTCAATCGCCTTCTCCCGATTCTCCAGCTTAACATTAGCAACAGCTAAATGATTTAGGACAAGCGCAAGGGAGAAATGGTCGTTCCCATAACTGTGTCTCAAATTTGCGGCAGCTTCTTCCATGTATGGAATAGCCTCTTCTACTTTACCAGAGAAGTACAGGAGCAAACCAATTTGAGCTTGTGAACCTGCATTAAACCAAATGTGAATGTAAACTCATGCATAAGCACAACTGACGACCTTGAATGAAAAAAGAATGCAACATTTGTTTGTGGTGGGGAAATAAATATATTAAGTAATAGAATTTTAACGACCTTGTATTCAGATATAGAGATAAATTTTGCTTACGAATATGCGAGCTAGAGCGACAGGGTAAAGTTAAGAAAACCCAGTACAACAAAGCCAGGAACCGCATCAAGATGATCAAATGAAGTAAACAAGAAGACTGTTCGTACACATCAAAGGACCTCTTAATAAACATACAGGCCCATGTCTACCTTGTGAACATTCTGATTATATTAGCGCGCCACATACTCTACCAATTTCAACTCCAACTTTGGAAGGATAGTAAAGAAAATCAGTCACGGAATACAACCCTCACAAGAGTGATATAAGCGAAATGCAAATTCCTCGCGGAGCTGAGTTCATACCTGCAGCAGCATTCATTTGCTGCGGCAACTGCTTGTAGATGGAGAGAGCTTTCTTTAAAAGATCTACTGCTTCCTCAGGGCGTTTCATACGCTGATGAATTGCGGCCAATTCTGTGTAGCATTCTCCAACTGTGAGAAGCTCTGTGTCCCCTCCACTCAAACGGTGAAGCTTTGAGTCGAGCACGCTTCTCGCGGCCCTGCGGCACCAACCAGTATTCATAATCTTCATTATCTAAAATTTTCGCGCAACTTCCCTGTAAAACATTAGGAGCACCAATAGCTAGCAGTTTCCTTGAAGAAGTGCCTCATTACTGATGGTCAAGTCTTAAAATCTTGGTATCCGTTTTTCTTCAACTTCAGGAGGGCTAACCGTTAATGAACAAGGTGATGTGAACAAGGTTATATAACTTCTTAAACTCTCTGCAAAATATTCTATTTCTAATGCTGGAAAAGTTACCTGGAATGTTCTGCAGCTTTCTCTTCGTTTCCCTGCTGTGTATACGCCTTCGCTAGATTCACAGTTGCAAGATCCCTCAATGAGTTACCTTCCTCCAAATGGGAGATAACGTCTTGAAGGGTTGCAATTGCATCGTCCAACCTACCCAAGGTGAGTTGAGTGTCGGCAATGGCAATCTCGACAAACCGTGCTTCGGATCCCAAACCTCTCGCATTTAAGATAGACCTCACATTTTGTTGTTCTTCCAGAGCTTTTTCGTGCTCTTCCAATCCACTGTAAATAACAGAGAGAAGGCGTCGATCAATAGCTTCTTCTATAGAGCCTTTGCCATTATTTTTGATGTGAGCCTTAAGTGCTTTTTCAACCAAATCTTTTGCTTCCTCAAACATCATAACCTGTGTGAATGCCTCACCAACCTGTTTAAACATTGACCAAGTTCGAAGATTGAGTTACCAAGTGCACAAATCAACCATAAATCTCACCTGGATAAACTAGTTAGGAGACTCAAGGGAAGCTTTATGCGCAAGACAAGCTACAATGCCTTAAACCAGCAATTATGCTCTCTCAGGTGAACTGCGGAGGGAGGACACACCTGGCGATAGTTGCTGGCCAATTGCGGATGGCCTGCGTCAAGGATAGTCTCTTGAACAGCCAAACCTTCAATGTAATGCTTGAGGGCTATATCGTGTTTCCCTAGAGCTGATAAAGTGTCTCCCATCAGAAACTGCAGAGCAAATTTAATTGGCCCACTCTCTTTCCCTTCATTATCTTTGAGCAGCGAAATCGCCTTGTTCAGATTTTCAAGGCTTTTTTCATATTGACCCAGTCTGTGGTGAGCTAGAGCAATGAGATGATGGCACATTCCAATCTCTAAAGTGAACTCTCCTGCTGTCTTAAAAATGCTGAGAGCTTGTTCCCCTAGTTTCATGAAGGTTTTTGGGTTTTCACCCCTTGCTTCATATTCCTGGCCTAGTCTCAAGGAAACAATGGCGATTCGAGGATCTTTTGGGTCTGCTACAGACGACAACTCTTTAAGCATTTCCTGAATGCTTTCCACGCTCACTTGCTCTGCTGCAGGATTCCAAACAAGCTGTTACGATCTCAAATACCTCAAATGACTCCAGTCAGCACGCGCTTGTAAATTAAAAAAGAAAAGAAAAGAAGAAAGAAGCAATTCCAATTTTCTCATATACTAAACAACACATTTAATAACATGACTCTGGACAGTTGTGACCATAAATCATGTGACTGGTTTCATATAAGGCCATCAGTCAACGCTAGAGCATAGAATAGCATAGCGTAGCTTCAGAGCTGCATCTGCAACCAGAGGTCTAAATGACACGATTGATTGTGGTGGAGAAGAGAGAAAAGGAAAATCAAGGAAAGCGCATTAATAAGCACCTTTTCTATTTTCAAACTCTGTCTCCGCTAGTTTTAAAGCGGCCTCCTCCTCCGGCGATAGAACCTCCCCAGATGCTAGTTGTAAGCCTGCAAAAGAGTCTTGGCTGAATCACACTGACATTCAACAAGAATTCTCCGAGCAAGCAGATAAAAACTTCTTCTGCTTTGTCCCATCGAAAAGCACATGATTGATAAGCAATTTGAAATAACGAACAGGACATGGGAGGGAATATTGAGTTCGAACAAAGTCGAGTGAAGTGCTGACTGCAAAGACATGGATTGACGAGAAATGCAAACCTTGTGAAGCACCAGACAACCCTGTAGAAGACCCTTCTTGAGCCGCAGACAAAAGCTCCTGCCCAATCTGACTCTCCTGCAGACCTTTTCTTTTGGTTTCAGAATCAGAACTGAAGTATCTTTGTCCCAACCAAGTCCTGGGCCTTGTCCGGTCGTCAAAACCGTCCAATCTTGCATTTAGGACAAGACATCGCGGCACATCAACATTTCGCCGTGTCGGTGAGTAATAATTTGATCTGTGCAGACTTCTCCACTTGTCCCTTGCACAATTTGCTGCCACATTTCTGGATAGTAAGGTGCGAAGGGTTTTCTGCTGGGAAACTTGGTGATTCAAGACCTGTGTGCTGCTAGAGGAATTCTCATCTTCATTCCATCTCCCAGCACTGCTTCCTAAAGTTGATAACTGGTGGCTACCGGCGAAAGCTCCATCACACACACCTGCGATCGCTTAACAACCGTTTGACAGATTAGGTTGGATTCATGAGAAGTAGGAATAGTGTTTTGATCGGTCTACCCCAACGCTTAACATGAATTCCTCGAGATGGTGCACGATGTTCATAATCACAAAGATCCTCCAAAGTACGTCAACACTTAGTAGAAGTGATTCAACATTACTCAAAATAAATGCAAAGCAATTCAATCCCATGTGACGTTCCTTCACTATAAAATGTAATCGTACAAACAGCTCATCCTTCAAAATCCCTCCCTATCTTGCTCGAGAAAGTTTACTTAACTAACAAACTTAGTAGCCCGTGTAACACTCAGTTACCCACATTATAGGGTAGAAAACCCTTTAACCATAAACCTCGTGCTACAAGACCCTTTCAGAATCCAAAAAAGAATGTGTTCTCGAGAAGTGAAGATGATTTATAAATTTCTGGCCTAGAAAATGATCAACACTGAGACTGGGCATCACTCCAAAATGCATGACCAAATTCAATCGCTGCTTGTATTACTAGAAAGAGAAGACCAGCAAGCACGTACATGACTTGCGATTCCAAGAGGCCGCGTAACGAAAGGAAGGCACAAGCCTGCTCGAAATCCGCCTAACATTCCCCATCTCCGCCAAAACCCACGTAGGGATCCTCAAACCCTTGTAATTTTTCTAGGAAACCAACACTGCTACAATCTGCGCTGGGACTACCGGTGACAGTGCAATCCTGCTCCAAAATTGCAACTCACGGGTAAGGAAATGACACACAAACAGGAACAAGGACAGAGAATCTTAACTACCACACAACGCAGAAGGTCGATCATTCGGGATAAGTGCATGAGGAATGACTAAAACCTATCGCAACTAGTTATTCTGTGAGTGAACCATCTACACTAGAGATGAAAAAAGAACTTAGCTCGGAGGTAGGGATGCACTCGTGTGCATTTCGGTGGAATTAGGGTTTATGTGGCATGGTTTGTCATATTTTCTCAACTACGTGTACTCCAACTGGATGAGTGAATATAGAAATCCATTCGAACAATCCGCAACCCCCCTACCTTGCTCGCAAATCTTCACAGCTCAGATGATGCCTCACTAGGTGAATTGTACGAGTTTGAACAATTGTATGGCAATCAATCGCATATTGTTTTCGCGGTCGTAGAATTCTATACTTTTCATGGTGGCATGAGTAACGATCGTATAGAATGTTAGAGATGTCAATATTTAGGACTTCAGAGTTTCGTGAGAGTGAGAGGGGCCTTTGAGGAAACTGGTAGAAACACGGCAGACGAAATTTGAGGAGGTTTCTCGAGGTTCTAGGTTTCCATTGGGAAGTGGAGTTCGGTTGCACGCCATGGTTGTCGTTGGATACGCTAAACTTTCACAAGCAATCTGAAGCGATGGCAATTAGAGGTTGTAGTGCGGTTCTGGATAGAGCGGTAGGAGTGCGAGCCTTTTGTACGATTCGTGGAGCTACGGGGCCAATCCGCTATAATCCGCAGGCGCCTGGGACTGCCAAGCCTACATTGCGGGAGAGCAGAGAAGACGCAGGGGTTCCATACTCTCGGCCGCTGCAAAGATGGAAGCGCGTGTCAAAGACAGACGAGGATTGCAGTTTGAGGAAACTGCAGGAGCAGAAAAAGTCTTCTGACAGAGACAAAGAGGTGGAAGCTGAGGCGGAAGATTATCAGAGTTTTGCATGTGCTGAAATACAACGATTGAAGGCAGAAATGCAAGCCAGAGACTCATCATCACAACGTTCAACGCAATTCTCTCGTATGCGTGAGAAGATTCCCCATGTTGCGGAGATAGAAGAGGATTTGAGTGCCAAAACTTCTCCCAGGAGCAATGAGTATGACGAGCATAACGCATTCCTTTCTAGGTCCTCAAGAATGTTGCGTAATCAAAAAGAAGCAGTATCAGCCACTGCCGACTTGGATGGGATTTCTTTGGTGAAGAAGAATCAAATGTTTGAAAAAGTACCTGTTTATGGAAATGGCCGGAAGTTTGAAGCTCCTGACTCAGAGCTATCAAAGAGGAGCAGTGTACCCTTAACTCCAAGGAAGAAAAAGCAGCTTCAAGGCTCAGGACTATTTTATGGAGATGGTCGGAAGTTTGAAGGTCTGCTTTCGGGTGCCAATGATCTCTTTGATGATTCTCTCAACGCAGCTGATGACAATCTCTTCGAAACACCAGAAATTGTGGTGGACAAAGAAATCGAGAAGGAGAAGCAATCAGCCAAAAGTTACGCATTGCGTTTGCTGGGAATTGCGTGAGTACCAACAATTCCTTTGACTTCTTGTTTTCGCCGCACTGCAAACTTGTCACTAATCTCCTCGTCATGTATTTCTGCTTGAGCCCCAGAATTGTGCATTGTATGCGTTTCAAGAGCAGCTCGTAACTGGGATCTGGTTCTTTGGTTTTGACAGACCTCAAACCGCACAAAAGTTGAGGCAGAAGCTGATGGGCAGGAACATATCTCCAAGCGTAATTGAATCCACAATTGCTGACCTGCAAAGATGGTGAAAACTCTTTTGCAATCTCTTAATCCTGATTGAATACGTTTCTTCCCAATTATGCAACTTCTCCCCTCCAACGCGGTCTTCTCACAATTTCTTCCTTCGTTTAGGGTTAAGTTACGATCAGAACTTCTAAGCTTTGTGGGTAACCCTTAGTGTGATTTTATTTCTCTTACTTGGCAGTGGATTGCAAAGTGACCTGGAGTATGCTGAGGCTTTTGCTCGATCTCGATGGCGAACATCCATTTGGGGACCCCAGCGTCTTAAGCAGGTATTTTTCCGTAACGCAAAAGATTCGCTTCTTTTTGAGTACGCAACAATACTCTAATGAAAGCTTCTGAAAACTGTTTCTTTGTATCATCAGAATCTTTGTGTACTGAAAAAAAGTCAGTATCATAACTGGAATCCTGTCATCAAGGTGTGTGAGCCAGAATGGTTGCTCTGAGCAGGTCGAGGGATGTGTTGAAATTCCGTAGTTTTATACGCTACTTTTGTCAGAATGCTTTAGAATTTAAATTGTTTCATTTCTTTACATATTGCAATGCATTCGATTCTAGTCAGTGCAATGATCATTGTCAACTTATTTATATCCTTACGAGTTGGCAGTGACTCCATTACCGTGGATGCACAGGAACTTCGTCAAAGAGGAGTAAGCCCTGAGGACATTGAAGCGGCCATTCAGATGGTCTTTACCACCAGTGATGAGTTCTTAAACCAAGATGATGACTCAGAAGACAACGAAGGACGATGGGGTATGACAAAAAGGACAAGTGATCATCTCATGGAGAAGGCTAGGCTACAGTGGGGACGTGGAGATAGTATCTCTCCAGAAGCTCGCAAGAGACGTATGATAGGCTGGTTGCAGCGACGTGGGTTCAATTGGTCTATCACTACAGAGGTTTTGAAGTCCCTGGAGGCTCTAGATAAACAAAACTGCTAGCTGTTTTATCTTAGAGTTGATCATAAAACACTTGATAAAACGTACACGTTTACGTTGTACATACTGCTGCTGCTAAAAATGCATTTTTCTGGATCTCCAAGGCCGAAGGATGCTCGAATTTCCTCGTATGACGTGATTGTGAAACTCAACAGCCTGAAATGGAACAAGTCGGCGATATGAAAGGCACAAATGAACTGAATCAATTTGAACAACTGTTGTCAATGTTGGTGACAGAACGAAGGACGTTGCTATTGTTGAATCTGAAGATAGCTTTTGGGTACTATGTCTAGATATCAATGGGGAGGTCTTGCACAATAACAAGGCCAATTCGTTATCCATTACCATTGGAAGCAGCAACTGCGTCAACAACTTGATTCAACGGAGTCCGCTGCCTCGACAAGATATTCTTGATGTGGAATTCTAGACATTTTTATTTTTGGTATGAATATTTTTGACATAATAGTTGAGCCATGAAAATATTCATACACAAATAGCAGGCCTAGCTAATATACAAGACCCCTCTCCAAGTGACAGTTTCAGGTATTTTTGGCTCAAGGCAGATAAGGCTTCAACTGATCATTGTTATCTGATTTGGGGAAATAGAGAAAATGGGTGAGCAGAGTGAACAGCTCAGTTAAGAATCAACATTGTGGCAAAAGTCTCTGGGTCCATTATAGGAAGTGACGAAATAGTCCAGGCATACAAAATGTTTCAGTCCAAACTACTTTTGTAAACGTGCAGCTGAGGATTGGTATCTGCACTTCAACACACTTCATTTTGCTTGCTCTTGCTCTTGCTGCTGTACTTAGTCCAGTAGCATGGCGTAGCTTGTGGATGCAGAGCTTCATTGTGCTACGCATAAGATCACTTGAAAAGTGCATTAACTTGTTCTTTGTACTTGGCAGTCACAACGTCTCTCCTAACCTTCATTGTGGGAGTGAGAAATCCATTTTCAACCGTAAATGGCTCATAGAGGATCTCAAATGTTGCTACTGAATGTGAGCAGCCAGCACCACTGCAAAGCGCAGACCACAAACGGAAGTGAGATTGTTGTCAAAATGGTGTCAAATTCAAAGCATCGATCAGCAGCCAATGTTGAACTTTAGGGGTTAGGTATTACTAGGTTCTCAGTTCCTCTCGTATGCACGCCCGCAAATCAGCGTCTGAAGGCTCGGCAGTGTTTCCTTTCGCTTGCATCCGCTCCTTGGCCGCCGCATATAACTCATCTTTGTTGGCAACCACGAGTGCCCCGAGTCGCCGTTGATCCTGCCATATCAAAGGCACCAAAATTGACGAATTGTAAGAAAATAAAGCATAGGTGACGATGACAGAATGTAAAGACTGCTTACAAAAGCAAGAAAAACAAGCACTGTTCTTAATATTAGTAAACTGGCTTACCTGCCCTAGTACGACAATGTTTTGAATCAGAGAACTTTGAGACATAACTTCCTCAATCTCTGTCGGTTCCACATTCTCTCCTGCGTGGCACAAGAGTTGACTACTCAGTGTCCATGCCATCAACAGGCCATCTTTTTCAATTGTGATCACCTATCTAATGCTAAATATTCTGGCTGCAAGGAGGTAAGAAAAATCTTTCAGCTTGGTTTGGAAAAGATCGTAAACGAGCTTTATGAACAATGATAGGACCTGTTGAGAGAACTATAGTGTCTTTGGCTCGGCCATCCAAGATCAATACTCCACCGCAGCGTCGAGCACAACCAATGCCCATCTTCGGCGCAATCCAACCGAGGTCACCAGTATCAAACCATCCTTCTGGATCTATCGCTTTCTTTGTTGCTTCTTCATTCTGAAAATACCATGAAGATGTAAGCCATTACTGCCTGTTCGTAGCTTGCTGTATGATGAATTTCTACATACTGAGGCTGAACCTCTTAACTATTCAAGAACTCATCAAGCAGACTTTCACGTGTGCAGATACAATCCATTGAAACAAAATATCACTCATCTCTATCTCTCAAACCTGAGCACAAAATCTGGGAAATACTTGCCTTGTAATATCCCTTCATAATTTGAGGACCGCTGGCTTTGACAAGGCCCTTGATTCCTGGACCCAGTTGCCTATTCGTCTCTGGATCCACTATCTTCACACGCGTACCAGGTATGGGTATCCCTACAGAACCCAATATCTGTGCAAACAGTGATGTTTATCAAATCTACGAAGAAGACTCGCATCAATGGCGGAATACAACCTAGTAATAAATCCAAATCACTTTCATGCTACCATGCACTAAATAAGGAGATAAGTTAAATTATTGTTAGTCCCTGTGGAATGTAATGGACATTGTGGCTCAGAGCTTACATTGTTGTAAGGCAGTCGACAGGAGAGAACTGGCGAAGTTTCTGTCAAGCCGTAACCGTTGAGTACTGGAATGCCGATCATCTATAAGAAAATCATCAAATTATTAGAATTACAGAAGTTATATTATTATTATTATTATTATTACTACTACTACTACTACTACTACTACTACTACTACTACTACTATACTTCACTACCTGAACTCAAATACAAGAGATAACATACCTCGAAGAACTTGTCTACATGGGTGGGCAGGCTTCCGCCGCCGCTAATTGCCGTTCCCATAGTGAGTGTTGCCCGAATTTTTTTGAAAACTAATAGTTTCGTGATTAAGTGAAGAGGTAGTAAAATTGACATCACAACCATGGCCGCTAGCCATTCTTTAGCTGCCGTAAAGATTGGCTGCTTCTTTCGCGCGCTTGCAAGGTCTCTACCCTATAAAACACGAAAACCACACTCAATTGTGGTCAATGCAGCTGCCAGTTTCAACCACAGCCTCCATTTGCAGATGCCAACCAACGCAGAATGTGTTGTTAGGGCGTCATGAAGTGATTCCTGATGATAGAACAGCAACCTACAAAAACAACGTTGTGCATACTTGGAACTTAAAGATTATGTTCAGTACCTGGGCAACACGTTTTGCATCCATGTACTTCGTACTGATGCTTATGAGCGCCATTGCCAAAGTCTTTCGAAAACCTGTTGCCGCATTCAACTGCTTCTGAACTCCACTGCCAGCCATTGCGACACACAACGGCTCAATCCTAGCACTCAATCATTGGACGGAATGTGCTTCTAGGCTGATTCTATGTAATTAGACTGATCTTTTTACATTCTACATCAGTACAGAAAACCTACTATACAGAAAATTTTAAACTATAGGTGATTAGTTAACATTTCACTGACTTACTTGTAAAGGAGGTCGAAGACAAGCGGCACAGCAACAAAGTAATCCGGTTTGTACAACACCAAATCCTCCTGCACAGAAATTAATGCGATTGAGTTATATAAATGTGTGTATATATGACACAACTGGGAGAGATAATTGAACTCCTGGTCAACACCTTGATCGCAGATTTTCAAAGATTAGTGCCTAGTTACCTTCAAGCTCTTGACACTCGTATACACGTGATTGACACCACGAGAGAGATAGAAATACTCGCACGAGCGCTCATACATATGCCATGGTGGGAGGATTGTCAAAAACCGCTGGCCAGGTGAGGGTTGTATCACTGACCACAAGTTGATCACCTGCATATAAGAAAGAGCTATGAGTTCCAAGATTTTCTAATTGATCTACAGATGAAATCTTCAAATCAAGTAAGATAGGCAAAAAAAAAAAAAACAAAAAACAAAAAACAAAAAACAAAAACAAAAAAACAAACAAACAAAAACGAAAGGATGGCTCATATTGTTTGATTCACAAAGTTTCACCTGGTGGAGAAGGTTGCCATGCGTGAGCATTACAGCTTTAGGTTTTCCGGTAGTTCCACTCGTATATACTAAAGTAGCAGTGTCGTCCGAGTGGATCTTCTCGTGCACTTGTTCTGATAATTCAAAATCCATAATAAAATCGTCAATTATTTTGCCATTCTGTGCGAGTTAAAATGTGCATCCGTAGCCCATCTTCGTGGCTAAAAAGTTGAGGGGAATTTGAATATGACACAACTAATGGAATAGTACAAAACTGCCAATAACGAGACATTTGAATTGATCGAAAGCAACAGAATTTTCTCCAGTTGGTTGAGAAAGACAAATGTTCCTGTAGTACCCACCTGAGCTCGTTTCACGGCTTCCTTCGCCCAATTCGACAAACTCATCGAACGTGTGAATTGGGGTATCTTTCAGGAAAGAGCCATTCGTCGAGACAATGGATTGTTTATCCCCCCATAGAAGCACAACAAATTTCACCTTTGCGCTCTCTCGCAACATGGGTGCGAGTTTCTTGAAAAGCTCCGCATTGTCAATCACCAACGCTACACTGCAGTTCCAAGCTAAATCGATTGGTGAACAAAACTATATATATGTATGAATATATATATATATATATATACATATATACATATACATACATACAAAGGTGGAATTAAACCTCCATTTTCAACGAACTGAGCTTCTAGCTACGTAAAGAACAAGTCAGTATATTTCAAACCCTCACATTCGTTACAGCTCACTCTTACTGAAATCTAGACTCGGCTGAAAGGGCAATGCAAAGACTGTAAACCCATAAAAATCAGAGATGGCTACGTGAGTCGCACAAAACATCTTTTGGAAACTGAATCTGAATTCCATGAAATGATTTAGATGAAAATTGTTATCCAACCTATCTGAGTGGGAGTAGATATACAGAAGCTCCTCAGCTGATGATCTAGAGCCTCTTACAGCATTTACTGCACCTGCTGCCAGTATCCCTGGATCCACCACGCCAGGAAATAATTTAAAACTTTAACAAAAACATAAACGTCTAAAAAGCTGAACAATACATTTGCACAATTCGAGCATGAAGCACTCATCACCTATCTACTCCATTTTGAATACGAGAGAAATTAAATGTTAACAGTTGCATTCGGAAACTGGCATCGCCACGATGTGCATGTCCGTCATTGGAGCAGCAGCATCGGAGGCAAGAAGTAATGATTTACGCATTATCACAGGTTGCAAATCAAACGTGCAATCTGATGAGATGAGGTTGGAGCTACTGTAGGAAAGAGCTGGTTTTCTGGCATACTAACCTTGATCAGCAATTAACCACCGGTACGAATTATCTGCAAAGAGAGCCACTGTTTGGTTGGGTTGGATCCCGGCTGCACGAAGCCCTTCCGCAAAATTCAATATAGCTTCCTCAACCTGCAAATGTGGTTCGTCACAAGGTATTCTACAAAATGGTTACAATTGTAAGCTTTCTGAAGCGAAAAATCTGAAAAATAAATACCTGAGAAAACGTTAATTCCGCCGGAGGATCGCGATGTGGGTCGACCAGCGCAACGCGCTCACCATATTTCACTGCTGCCGTTCTCCAAATGTCCGGCACCGCCACCCACTTAGCGTCTCCATCTGTTGCTCCTTCGACTAGCAATGGAGCACCTTTCCTTGTCGATTCCACATTGCGCCTTGTCTGCAAAAACATTACAGAAAAGCAAAGAGATATGATCAATTCGACCGAAACCATTTCGTGGATGTGCAAGGACGCAGATGATATATGCCCGAGCGAATGGTGGATACAACTTGCGTCAACACTTCTGTACGCATTCCAACAAACTTGAAGCTATGAACTAAATTTTACAGTTGAAGGACATGTTCTCACGGGTAACTCATAGTTCCGCTGAACTCGTCTCTCTCACCTCAAGCGAAGCACAAACTGTCCACACCCTCAGATGCTTCGACGCTCTGAGATTGAACTCCAGCCCCTTTGGTTCTCTCCAAGGGCTTCTAAGCCTGGTCGCAAGATGGCAGCCTGTGAGCTGCCCAAGCCCTGGACCCCTACAACTGACTACTGTCCTCGGCAAAGAAACACACAACGCCGCCATAGCAGTTAGCTCACTTTCGCTCCTACAGAGCAACTCACATTGGGAAAGCAGCCCCCGTCCCGTTCCAAAAAAATCGACGAATTCAGAGCTTCGAGACCACTTCCATCGCTCCCCTTCCTCTCGTGTGAAGAACACTGGCGCACCAATCACGCGAGGCCAACATCAATGGATTCCCAGGCACGAAAGCGCCAGCCGATCCAAACACTTGCAGCAAACGACAAAAATAAAATCACGAATATAATTTTAAAACAAGAGAAATATAGCAAAAACAACAGAACAATAACTACAACAGCAACAACACTTCATACCTTGCAAGGATACCACCAGGGGTTCCAAACTAGCTTTTACAATCGATCACGCCACAACAAATCATCACGGTCCCGCAGATACTAACCCACCCAAACACACATCTCTCGCACGAAGGGACTGTTGACGTGATTCCGCAATACCCACCTAAAATTAGCACAGGCGAATCACTCCAGCCGCTGCGGAAATGCCAGCGACCTCAAATAACTGAGACCCAACTGGAAAGACTGGAGACTTTTCTGATGGCTACTCTGATTCCATTGGCCCGGGTTCAGAACCAGTGCGCGCATGTGAATCTCGGGAGTGACGAGTGGCGTATGCCTGCGCCAACTCGGGTGGGTCACGCTTATCTGGGTGCATTCCGCTGACGGAGCTCGCGTCTTGGTACGTGTCAATCCCTTGCCCAGCGACCCACAGTGATGCCACTCGCAATGCGAGACGGCGATCTCAAGTACCCAGCTTCCGCTTGCGACTTGCTCGCATCTCTCGCGCCACAACTTGCTCGCCGCATTCAGGCTTGCTCGATCTTTGCATCCATGCCGTAACTGTGGCTCCGGATCTACGCTCCGGTGGCGCCGCACCATCGTCCTGTCCTCACAATTCCCGTGTCTAGGTTCTCCGTGGCGGTAAGAACCTAGACACGTGAAAGGCGCAGACTCGCCGCTTGTGTGCTGTCGGTGAAAATTTCGGTGCATATTGACGGTGCAGGCCAGTTTGTAAGTTCACCACAACAATAGTTGTACTGCAAGCGTTTACGGAAACACACATTTCTTGTGTATTCTCTGATGTGCAAGTGTTGCATTCTTTGCCTCCTAATTCAATGTGTTGTTATTTTTTATACTTCAAGGTGTGGTTGTTGATTTTGTTGTTGTTGTTGTTGTTGTTGTATGGTTTTATGTAGATATGAATGGGAGATTGTGGCTAGTCCCCCAAATTGATTTGATTAGGTGGGGTCCAACTTGGTGAATGCAAAGAGCATACCCCTAGAACATGTTGCCAACTTGGTGTTTGTCTAGGATCCCACTATAATGCCTTTAGATCACATGGTTTTGTAACAGTTGTGTTGGATTCCATGTACTTCAACATTGGTTGGTTGCACTTTAAATGTCATGATAAATTTCATAGGTGGATTTGTTTTTAAGTTGATGTGATGTGTATTACATGTGATAGCTTTTTGATTGCAATGGTTTCAAGCACATAATGTTTGTGTAAACATGTGAAGAAGATGTTTGACTCATCAATATTCAAGTTTTATTGTTTTATTGATAATAATAAAAAAAGGCATGTAATATTTGGAATATGATTGTCATGTCACTATGGATAGCTTTAAAAAGTGTTTTTGTACTCTAATATTGTATGTTTTTGTCAACATGAATTTACTCTGATATGTATTCACATATATATATATATATATATATATATAAAATTAAAATCCCACCCCACCCATTTTATTACAACCATGATTTCAAAAGCTCAGTTGTATACCAATCCACTGCAACACACTCTGCAACACGATAGTAAGCTTTATTGCAACCCTTAGTGTTGCAGTTTGGATGGTTTAAACACAAAGGACATGAACTAATCACATGCATTTGACATTTCTGATATGAGTAGCCATGAAGGTTTAGTCCATTTATTAGAGAATTTGATTTACATTCTCCAACATATATGCACATACATCTAAATAAAGCCAAAATGTTGTTGTATGAAAATAAAAAATAAAATCTTAACAAAGCTATCCAATAAAACATGTTAGTAATGTTATTATAATATATATTTATTTTCTCTACAGTATTTTAAAATTAAAAACTTAAAAAGGTCTATCAAAATATTATTTTTTATGGCAAAGTTTTTACATATTTTTGAAAAAAAATGCATTACGTTATATGATTAAAAAATCAAAAGATGTTTGAATAACTAAATAAATAAATAAATAATATAATATTATTGATTCAAAGGAATGTACGAAATAAAAAATTTATTTATTAAATCATTTTTTGAATTTTCATTAATAATATTTGAATGTATATTAAGTTATATATATATATATATATATATATTCCTCATATAAATGAAAACTCATCATCTAATTTTGTCGTCAGGAGTAGACAAAAAAAAATCTAGAGTCACATTATACAAGATATTTCATCACCAAGAAGAACTTATCAGTGTGTAAAATTCAACATCCAAAAAGAATAAAAAATATCTAGAAATCCCACCCACACTTCTCCATCGATATCCAGGTGTCCTATTCGACCGATACCCGCTCGGAAATATCTTTGCCTGTCCTCAACGATTCCGGTTCTCAGCCTGTCAGGCCACTTTGCAGAGTCACGCAGTTCCGGCAATCGTGATTAGTGTCGGGGATTAGTGGTAATGAAGAACACTTAGGGCCTTGACATCGTCAGCACAACCTCCGAAACTCGATTCGGTGAGCTCGCTCTCTTTCGTTCGTTGCAACAAATTTGCTCCCATTCTGTGCTCCATTGTCTCCACTCTCGCAAGCTTGGATCCATGATTCTCGAACGCGATCCGGCCTCGATTCCACCGTCGCCCTTCGCCTCGTATGTTCCACGCTTCTTCTTCGTCTTCGTTTTCGTTTTCGCATGGCCTTTTTGTTTGGTCTGGATTTTGTTTTGTCTGTCATGAATGGAGATTTGCCTTATTCTTTAAACCCTAGAGACCTATTGCGAGTGATTGCGAACATTTCAGGCACATTGTGGCGTTGTAGAAGGTGTTTGGTCGAGTTTTCTGTGAGCAACAGCGCTCGATTGTAGAGGATTTTGAGAATCTGAGTCTCTTCTGGCACTCGGTTGATGAAGTGTGAATGAGATGAGTGAGTGTGGGCGATGTGATGCTATAGAGGATTTTTGTCGCAGTAGGAGTGGAATGTAGGGGTAGGAGATGCCTGGAGCGGAGGATTATGTAAACCTAAATATTCGTCCATCCGTGGCGGGGTGCTGATGTCTTCGGTTTGTCGGAACGATTTGCACTGAATTTTTTGTTTGCCCATGTGTGTGAGTGCTAATTAGAGTAGTGGATTACGAGGTTTAGGGCTGGCTAAAGTGAGGGAGATTCTTGTAGGAAGTGGTGAAGTGATTCATTATATGATAGGCTTGAGGTCCCACTCTGGTTTGGGTGGTAGAGAATGAGCGTAAGACAGATCGTAGAACAGCAAGTTTGTGCTTACGAATTGTTAAATTAGCGGAGTTCTAGCAATTCAAACTTCGTCTTAGCTCGATATCATGACGACATTGACTTGTTTGCTTGTTCCCATCATCAGAAATTCCTGAATTCGTTACTGCCGAGGCAGCCAGTACGATGGCAGACATAGCAGAAGCTGAGCCCTCTCCAGGGCTTCCTGCTGATAATGAGGCGCCTGTTCTACCTCGAGCTGCGTCTGAATTGTCGAAATCTGATCAGCAGCCTCTTACAACTGGTTCCCCGAAAGTAAATCAGCGATCGTTTTCCTTCCCTTACGGTGGTTCTACGAAAGGCTCAGAAGAGGGCACAGCAAAAGCCAATCAAGCCTCAGGGTTTTCCCAATGGGCGAGAGGATTTCGACTACCATCATCTTTGGGATCATCCTCTGGACCAGCTTCAGGTGGGGACGCTCCTAAATCGTCACCATTTAGCATGCTCACGAAAGGATTCGGGAAGCGTGTCCCTGCACAAGCTCCTGCAGTGAATGTCACAGCCTCGAGTGAAACAGGCGATGATTCAGTGAAAAATCCTGCACCAATTGCTGGCGTACAAGAGGGTAATGCATTTGACAGGTTTACCAACGGTTTTCTCGACTCATCCAGGAATGCTGTGAGGACAGTTCAGCTGAAAGCCAGACATTTGGTCTCTCAAAACAAGCGGAGGTACCAGGTATCGACCACTTTCTATATTATCTAACAAGCACTTTCCTCGTACTTGAGGAATGTATTTTTAAGAGGATACTTGATGGCATGATCGCAGCAGTTAGGATAAAATATCGAGTTTCTAGACAGGTTTCCCCCCTAGCTGGTAAGAAGCAAGCCTGCTTTGGTAGCTCAATACTAATGTTATGTTCTTAGGTACATGTGGTTTACTACCTTGAGCGTTGTGTAATTTTCACATAAACAATGCATTGGAATCTTAGATCTGAGGTCCGTTTGTGGGTACTCCTTGTACTTTTTATTCAATCTTAAAATTGTCAAAAGTTAAAGTTGTCTACGTTTGGGGTTTTGCTCAGGTCTAATTTGTACTTGATGTATCCTATCAGGAAGGAGGATTCGATTTAGACATGGCTTACATTACTGAAAACATTATTGCCATGGGATTTCCTGCTGGAGATATGAGTTCTGGTCTTCTGGGTTATGTGGAGGTATCTAAAGTCGGATTAGTTTCTATTTTCTTCAGAATCGTTTTTCGAATGCTTGACACGTCTCAGTTTATTTAGCTTAGTTGTTTCGTATTCGGCATTTCTTTTTTCTTTTTTCTGGTTAAACTCCTATTAACAGTCTTCATCCCTCGTTGCAGGGGTTTTATCGCAATCACATGGAGGAGGTCTTGAAGTTTTTTGAGACTCATCATAAGGTGTGCACACTGCGAAGCTCTTCTGAAGAGGTTCCATTCTGTAGTTTCTTGTGCATTCTATTTGGTACCAACACATCGTTTTGGGACTAATCCTACGTCGAATTTTCACCGTGCAGGGTAAATACAAAGTGTATAATCTTTGTTCGGAGCGGCTCTATGATGCTTCTCTGTTTGGTGGAAAGGTGGGTCAGTGCACTCAGTTTTAATGTTGTCACCTTCACTAAAAATCTGGCCGTTTCTAGTGGCAGGCAGGAAGTGGTGCCTATCTGACTAGATTTTATACAGTAACCTTCAATTGCTTTGAAATGAGCATTGAGCTGCTTGCATTGGTATTCTAATTCAAAGTAGTGAAAGGTTTTTATTGGTTCAATGAAACTTTTATGCCAGATAGCATATCACCATTGCAAGGATTTGCGTTACAAATGCTTCCATTTAATGATATCGACATCGTGATTATAGGTGGCATGTTTCCCCTTCGATGATCACAATTGTCCTCCATTACAATTAGTGGCGGCCTTTTGCCAAAGTGCATACTCATGGCTGAAGGGCGATCTTGAGAATGTGGTTGTGGTTCATTGCAAAGCGGGTATGGCCCGCACGGGCCTCATGATCACTTGCCTTCTCATGTATCTAAAGGTATTCAACTTTGGGAAGTCAAGCAGCTCAGCTGCTCATCAAACTTGAGTTTTTAGATGGCATTTCTTGTTCGTAGACATATCGATAAATACAGTGTGTCGAGCTTATTTTGAAGACAAGTACAATGTTTTTCATTCCCTAGAAGTGCTCTGGATCTTTGTATTTTGAAGTCAAGTACAATGTTTAATCATGTAATATATGATGTACGTTGTGTGGAATGGAATGAAGCAAGTCTCATTGTCAACTCTTTTCCCTAAAGTGGTGTCAGCATGTGTGAATGTACCATAATCGTACCCTGGCTGTCGGAAGCTTTTTCTGTTCTTAATATGAATTCAGTTATTGTACTAGTTTTATGGGAGGTCGGGTGATTCACTTGACATTCTTCTGATTTTCCATATGACTACTGAGTGGTGTTATTCTTTGCAGTTTTTTCAATCTGCAGAAGAGTCTATTAACTACTACAACCAGAAACGTTGTGTGGATGGCAAGGGCCTTGTTCTTCCAAGTCAGATTGTGAGTTTCCTAAACCTAGTATTTGTTGGATCTGGTATGCTAGCTCTTTAAAATAAATTCTTGCCATTAGTAAATATGATTGTGGGGAATCGGTGGCAGACTTTCTGAACTAGTCTGAAAATGCTGCGAGAAATGAGGTCAATTTGTTCAATCTTCCACAACATAGTAACCACGGCACTCTCTACTAGATGTGGCTTTTGATTTGAAGTTTATTTTTGGTGGATTTAATTATTTCCTTGACCTTTTTACAGCGATATGTGAATTACTTCGAGCGTGTGTTGAAAGAGTTCAAGGGAGAGACCCCTCAAGGCAGGAAGTAAGCAATCTACGCTTTTGTTATACATTCACATCCCTATTTCTGTTCATCACAGTGCGTGTGTGTGAGATGTAAGGTCTAATGTTTGTGATATGCTTCGTTCCTGGTCTTCACAGGTGCATTTTGAGAGGTATAAGGCTGCACAAATGTCCTTATTGGGTGCGGCCCGGCGTCACCATTTCTGACCACAATGGTACTACCAACTTTTCCGAATTCTTCTACTCGGTTAATGTTTGATCAAATACCACGTATTTCTCTGAACTTCATCAGCTCGGATCAAAATAAATGTCAAGTCGAGTTCCCTTCCTGGTTAACATGATCAGATAATAAAGCTTACATCAACCAAACTCTGGCATGTGCCGCAATTGAGAGGAGTGGAGTACGTACAGCTAACGTTTGAAAGCTTTTTCCCATTGACTAGGTGTGCTCTTTTCAAGCAAGAAACATCCTCGGACTAAAGACTTGCTGGTCTGTACCTTGAACGAATGTATTCGTACTGATAACATGGGTAGCTTTGGAATTTACTGCTCATTTTTTTCTGTTTTGGGATCTGTGTGAGATGGGCACTTCAATTTAACTACACCAAATATTTTTTGTGCTGAGGGAATCCGAGTATTTAGGATCTCTGCTTTAGTAAGATTTGATGTAGTAACGGGTGACGTCTTTGTGCAGTCAGAAGATATTTGGTTCAATGCACCCAGAAAAGGCGTACTTGTTTTTGCTCTTCCTGGAGAGCGATGTGTGGCAGATATTAATGGAGACTTTAAAATACAATTCAGTGATCGGCATGGTGATTTCTACTGGTGTGCTTATCTACAACTTTCACTAAACGTTGTCAAATCGTTTGTTCTCTTCCCGTCAGCGGCGATTTTGTGTTCATTTTATGTATTTGTAGAATCCGTCCTATGGAGTGGGTTTTCTTGAGAATGACAATTGAAGTGCAATTTGCAGCTGGTTGAACACCAATATGATGGAAACGAGGCAGATACTGGAAACTTCAGATCTCGATGGCTTTGAAAAGGTACATTTTATTCTCAAGGTTACTTCTAGCCTACCATGTTAATTTTGTGAGTATGGACTAAATGGTGTAGAATCTTGCATGCTGAGAAATAATTATGTTATCTACGTGGTGGCAATGCAGAGACGACTTCCATCGCCAGGTCTTCAAGTTGAAGTTGTCATTTTAGACCATGATGCACCTATTCCAAGGAAGAAAGCAGCTGAAGGAACAGCAATTCAATCTACAACTGCTGCAAAAGAAGCGTCCACAGCTTCCATCCTCCAAGTGAATGCAAGCACAGAGGGAAGCAATTCATCACAACTTGTAGATGGATCGGATGATGCAAAAGGTATGGGTGTTGATCCATCAAATGGTATCATGGGAATATGGTAGGTTCCATTGAGATATGTAAAGACTGCATGCTTCATATGCTTACTTTATCAAGCACCGGGTGATCAATTATGGTTTTATTTTCGACTTTCACCATCGATGCTGTTGTATTGTGCGGTTCTTGTTGATATGATTTACGACTTCTCGTGGTATCTGCAACTTTGAAATCTCATTCGATTGCTTTAGGGCTCTTTCGGAGAGTTCAAGTTTGTTGGAATCTTGCATTTGCTCGGGGTGCAGTAGCTTGTGGATCTGTAAACAGAAAAACTCAAAGCTCTGCTAAAGATATGCATCTTGATGCAGGTAATACTGTATCAGGCAATGATTCCGGTGTACAAGAGGATACCAAAGTGGCTGTTCCTGGGGAGATCAGTGCTGGTGATCATCAAGGTGGAGACTCCTCGAAGGCTGCGAAGGCAATTGATGCTGAGAAAGTAGAAGGATCTCTGGGTGAAGGGAAGACGACAGCTGGGGTGGGATCTCAGAGCGACTCGAAAGATACTGGGGTGCTCTCCAGGCATGATGCAAGTCCAAGAAGCGGAGCAGTTGCACCTAGTGATTTCAAGGCTATTGCTGCAGCTAGTGCTGCTGATGCGTCAGTCTTCACATTTGGTGATGATGACGACTATGACAGTGAGGAGGAACTACAGTGAACGGTTGTATCTCTTGCTTTCGGGTTAATTTTTGGCATGCATCTGGAATATCCAACTACAGCAGATCAAGTATCGACGGTGAAGAGTAATGCTTGCCTTGAATTGGATGGTAGTGGATCATGCTTTGAAGAGGCCTTCAAACCGAATGTAGGCTATTGAAGGTTGGCAGAATTGTACAATCAAGCACACTAGCAGATAGTAATTTTTGCTGAGAAGATCAGACGTTTATGGGTGAGGCAAACAGACTGGTCTTTCACTTCAGGTATATATTAAAAGACAAACGCTGTCAGCTTGTTGAGCTGAGTGAATTTTAACAGTTCCAAGTCTCAAAATTCCACCCTGCATGGCAAGTGAAAAGGTTCTCCAGTTGTGATTCATTTCTGGGTGGATAACAGCATCAGTCTTGTGCAAACGGGTGCCATTTGGTGAGCTGATCTTAGACTTCTACAGTCGAATGTCCCTATTATTCGGCTGTATCACTATTGCAATCTTAGGAATTCTGGTTTGTTCTCTATGTTTTAATCATTTTATATGTGATGAATCGTTAACAGCGGATATATCATGTAAGTACTAGTTACACGATCAAATGCGAGTTGCAACTCGTCTCTTGGCAGTATTCTGCACTTAATATTTACTTGTTAAATTAGAACCTTTTAAATAAAATAATTTTAATATTGATTTTTTTTATTATACCTAAACCTAAACTCTAATAAATCTTCTAAAATGATAAAAAATTGAGTATTGATTTTTTAAAATTAAAATTAAAAAATAAAATATTTAGTGTTTAAGCAATTTGATTTGTAGAATTCTAAAGCTAAAAAAAGTACAAGCCACCTTCTTCTGCACTTTAGTCTACTAAGATTTACAAGTTGTAAGTATCACTAAAAGAATCTTTGTCCTAGAATTGCATGCACTATTTGAGGGTAGGTGCCTACCACTTCTATTCATACACCTACATCAAGTTTCTTGCCTATTATAATTCCACTCATAAATGCGACAATTTCAATTTATTATTTTTTAAATTTACTTTTTAAGTTTCTTATTTGACCAATAAAATGTATTTGAAATTAAGGCTAAAGGAAATCTTTGACCTCTTTATTTTTGATTCTCAATTTTGTTGCTTGTTGCCACTTGCACTAACTTTATCTAACTCTTAATATTTGATATCTTATTTGATATTCAACTAAGAATCTTACTTTTACATAAATTAATAATTTTTTTTTAACTTCTTTATAATTTTATATTTTGGAAATAATAAAATACATATCTTTTGAATATTTTAATGAAAAATCAATTAGACTTACCATTGTTTTTGGAGTAACCAGGTTTTCGATTGATACAATTTGAACAATTGTTTTTGGGGTAATACTATTTATACAAGAAAAATTTCTTAAAAAATAAAATGAATCAATGAATTTATTGTCATTCATTTATTAAAAATAATATTTTCTATTTTAAGATATGATAGATATGGCCTGTTAAAAACAAAATCTCAGTAGTTGTGAAATTATCATTATGTTGTTTTAAAACTGTACTAAAACGAATTTAGTTTATTTATTTAGAAAAATATTATTATACCAATGATAAAAATTAAAAATATCCAATTTTAATAAGTAATAATTATATTTAACATATATTAATACATTTCAATTGTTTTCGTGCAAGAATCCTATTAATTGTTTTTGATTTACAAGAATTTTACACTTTAAAATTAATTTAATAATTATTTTTTAAAATATTATTTTATATGTTTTAGAAGTAGTGTAAAATTTACTTGTAAATCTTCTATAATATATATATACACACACATATACATTATAAATAAAATTAAAGAAAGAAATTGAAGAAATATAGCATTTTCTAGATTTTTATATTTAATTTATTTGAGTTTTTGAAAGATGGTAGTTGTAAAAGCTTCATATGGATATGATTTTATCTAAGATTCTAAACGTGTGTTCTTTCTAAATGTTTGCATACATCCATAAACAACTTTATAAAAATGTTCAAAAGAAAATTTAGTTTGACTTTAATAATATCTTAAAAGTTCCACAAAATCCGAGGTGGTTTAAAGTATTTGTAATAATCACTTTGCTACTCAACTTTTCCTAAAGTATTTGCAGTTAAGCAACATATTCTATCTATTTTCAAAGTGTATTATCATGCTTCAAAAGTGGAAAATATAAGAAAAAGACAAAAGAAAACTTTATAAACTTCTATCCATTTGAAACATATTCTCGCAGCCATTCGTATAACTAAAGGTCACTGTAACAACAAAGCAACATGCATTATTACAAAAACATCTCTTCACTCTTATTTTGAAGAAGATAACTCGCCATGAAAGAAGCGAAGGTAATGTCCTATTACTGTATGGCATTACATGATTCATTTCTACAATTCTACAGGCTGGTTTTTGAGAATAATGGACTAATCTCAAAACAATAAACTACACCAATTCTAACACTCTTTTTTCTGATTTGAAAGTTCCAAAGCTCGGAACCATTTGCATTGGATAATCGAAGGTTTAAAAAGGCATAAAATAATGTCTTCGGCAGCATGCACAGATATGGTCTTCAGCGGCAGCAGCAACATTTGCTATTCTACAAGCTAATGCTAACATCCATCTAATAAAACGTGGGTTTTGTGTGTAAACTGAACTGTGAAGGATGTGAATGTTGGTGCAGAAATGGAGGACAAATCGTGTCTTCAATCTTTGGTTTTGTCATAGCAGCCCTCCTTCAAAACTAATTTGCCGCGATATATTTACAATAGAGACTGGGCTTGCAAGGGCGGTGTAAAGGCAACCAACGAGTTGGGTGACTCAAGTGATACCGAAAATGGTCTTGAATTCGTAGCTTGAAGTCGAACTCGTCGCAGCACAGATCTAAAAAACTGCTTCTGGATCAAACCAGTTAAGGTACAGGAAGAGACGCAACTGAGTCTCATATCATGGGCGAGAATGAAGGTCACACGCTCCGTCGCAGTTGAAAGTTCCCCATCTTAACTCTGCTTGTTCGCAGCGGAATTGTGGCTTTCCCAAACTGGTGCATTTCACACAACAAACACATCAGAAGTTAATTACGCCACGGGGTTGGTCTTCACGTTGCATAATAAGAGAACTTGTTGGTATGGATTCTATTGAATGATCTACGAGAATTCAGAACATAGATGCGTTGCGGAATGTGGATATTGGCAGCAAAAGGAATTCAAGATGAAAGTCTTCAATGTAAGCAGACTATGATTTTTTACATGATTGATAGGGTTACTAACCTTTTGTTTACTAGATTGTGTACTTGGCACATCCATTGCACTAAGTCAAGACCAGATTTTGCTTTTGGCGGATTTGTTCTGCTTGCAACAAGAGCGATCAGTTTCAGAATACACGTTGGAGAGGCGGGCTGCGTCACAGTCCCATTACTTGGCAAAGACAAGACGTGGCTTAAGGAAGCAGAGGGGCGCAGTGCTCAAGACTTACTTTAAAATCTCCTTGAAATGTTCGGCGCAAGTTTTGCACGGGTATAATCGGGAGATTATAGCCATCTACAATGCAGTCCCACACAACCAAATATTCAACGTTTTGGAACAAAAAGTACATCGGCACACGAAACTCCCTTTTGTATACATCCCTCAACTTCTGAAACATAAAAAAAACATTGCATGTGAGAACAACACAGGCCAAAATTGAAGACAAAACACGAGCAGAGCATCGTGCTCACCAGTTCTTTAACATCCTTCTGTTGTTGCTTTGTGGGCCGTATGGGGAACTGTGTGCATGAGACAAGTATGGCACGTTAAAGAGGATTGTACGTCATGACATCGATGACATATTTCTAAACATTCCCAGAATGGAGGCATTTTTCTTTTCGCTAACTGCTAACAACAAATGGCGAGATTCTGCAATCGATGCCGCAACAAGGACATACTACGGTGAGCTGAGTGTCCTCTCATCGTGTCAAAGCGAAGTATTGTGATTTACCTGCGCTGCTAAGGTGTGTAAGAACGTCCAGGTAGACCTGCCGAGTTCTTCTTTCGTAACAGTCCCACTCCAATTCTCCTGCAAGTGGTTGATTAACAATTGGTTACGTTACGTTACAATTTGTGAACGTGGGGAAACCCAACTCTGATCCAGCTTGAGGACGTATCCAACTACAATGGCCAAAAGGGTGGTCGTCATCGTGTGTTTATCAAGCAAATGAGACACAAGACCTGAATGGCAGCCACAAAAGTTTTGCTCCATTCAATCCATTGCATACCCAGACATCGGTTCGTTTCGGAGAGTAGAAATACTAAGCTTTCAGTTAGCATTAGCTTGTAGCCTTCCAATGTAGCCGAAGAGAGAAAAAATTCATGTTCCAACCCTCGACTTTCGCCCGAGTGGAGTCCAGTGCGGCAACACGAAGGAGACAACACACAATAACTGCAATACTCGACCGAGGCTTACTTTCACTGGAGCCTCTAATGACAAGTCTCCTGCCAGGACTGTCAATTGTGTCTCCGACGAGTCGTCGTCCTCCTCATCTCCCGACTCCTCATTCTCCCGAACGCTCAATTCATCATCCTCCGGCTCCTTTCGTTCCGCGTCTTGTATCCTACTCTTGTCCACTCCAGCACATGCTGAGACCCTAAACTTTTGCTTGAGCAGCTGCCAGTTGCGGCCTCCTGCGCCCATGATCAGTCGCTCTCTCTCAGATCAACCCACAACACCAACCAAACCTCAGACAGACTCACAATCCTTCTCTGCTCTATAACTCTCTCTCGATTCACTTACTCCCACTTTGACTTCCGCGTGGCTCGACAGTCTAGAATCGTCTGAGTCTGAAGGCGCAAGCTCAAAGCCTCTATTTGTCTCCAAATCGAGTCCCTGGTGCACGAGACGTGGGCCTCGGATGTTCCACATTGGGCATCGGAGTTTGAATTGTTCGCTGCGGATATGGGGCGTATATTCTACGACACGAGTCAAACCCACCGCGGGGCCATTTGGCAAAGCCTTATCAGATTTTTCTAGTTTAGCGGGACGTAATAAACGCTTCGTCCGCTGACAGAACCACATTTTCGGCACTGCTTTCACCTAGCTGGCTTGACACTCGCTGGAGCTTGGGATGTAATCCAACGCTACACAAAATGATGCACGGCTCCATCGCTTTGCGGATGAACGGCTCCATCGCAGCACAAGAGATGAATGCGTGAAGTTCACCGCTGCGAAGGCTCGCTGTCCACGAGAAAGCTTAACTTTTTGTTTAATCTAGTCCAATAACAGAAAGTATGAAATAGAAAACAACCCAACTTACGACCAAGCACGACGTGAAATTTCTTGTTATTCCCCAGAAGAAAGCAATTTCCTGTACAAAGTCCGAGGCTTGATGGACTTGCACTGGACCGTAGACTGCAACAGAGACTTCGTCAATTAACTCTGCGTTTACAACTCATGTTTCCCCTGCCTTTTGCCTGCAGATGAGGAGGGATCTTTGAACACGGCCACCGTTTAAAGTTCAGAAACATGTGCTCTATATCTACCGCGCAGAACAGCTTCGTGCTTTCCAAATCCAGCTGGGAAAAACAACCGCACATGCAAAGATCGCGAATCACTGTAGAGCCCTGAATCCTAACCCTAAAACACCAAAGCCCGAAGATAATCCAAGGAGTTTGACATCGCACAAAAGTATGATTTTGGAAAGTGGGCATTGTTGCGCTGTGGCAGCGAGGAATTGGGTTGCAAGGAATTGAGTTTTTTTAATACTGTATATCCTCAGGATTTTGGGGCTCTATGGCTTTAGACTCGCCTGCCATTTGCCATCTAGTCCCTTCAATGTGCTCAAAAGCCCTAAATTTGGTATCCGAGGACGGAGGCTTTTTACATTTGGCGACAGGTGGAGACCTGTCATGGAGTGCCACTTGGCAGGCCCTCAGCGAAAAGTAACTAATGGGGGTAAATTGGTTTGATGGTTTTGCGGCCATAAGGCAAGTTGTCATGAAATCCAAACAGGATGAATGCAATTCATAAGGGAGCATGTGACAAGTTGAAAACATAGCATGAAATTTTGTGGGAGGTTCTACGTAATACATTTTAAAAAGAAGACTACCAACATCTCTATAATATTTTGAAGGTTAATAATAATTATTTTTTGAAATGAATATTAAAAATTATGAAATTGCAACTATTTGAGACTGTTTTTTGCATTGAATATTACAATGATCTATATACTATTTCTATCCTGTGAGGTTATTTTTTTATTATTGAGTATCAAGTCTAATCAAATTAGAGTTAGTATATATATTATCATCTTTCTTTAAATTATTATTATATCCCTTACAAAGTTCATTGTATATTTTTGAAAGTATTTAATTCTACAATTTTTTTTTTTTTTTTTTTTTTTTTTTTAATGCATTAGAAACTAAAACATACAACTAAATACATACTTTGATGAGAACCAACCTATTCTAAGCATATTTTATGTCCTCAAAAAATTCTGAAAAGGTTTAATATTTTATAGAAATTTAATATGATTATTTAAAAATAAAATTATAACTTCAGATATTATATATATATATATATATATATATATATTGTAGTGAAAATTTTTATGGTTGGCCAAGAAAAAGCTATAAAAGTTTAATTTGCGGTTGCCAAATTGATCACTCCTAAAGAAATGTTGACCAAGAAGAAAACAAATAAAAAAATAAAAAAATCATATGCATATCAATAGAATCATTTATGCTTCTTCGTTGTAATTGAAAAATATTATTTTTATTTATTACAAAAACTTAAATAGCCAAGTAAAAAAATAAATTAAGATAAATTACATTTATGGTTGTATTTTTGTCTTCATTATTTTTACGAGATCATATTTGGAAAAGTAATATTTTCCAATAATATAATATGACGTCCAACCTTTAGTTCTAAGCTAAATGGTGGCAATCAAGATGGACTTAAGCTATTCAAATACTTGGTTAGATAAAAATTATCATTGTCAATACAATCTTTGACAATTACTACATTTGTTTCAAGATAAACACAAGAAACTTCAAAAAATCTCTCTATAGCATGCTTATTTAGATCATTAGTATCATAATTTTTTGTAGATAAAATATATATATTAATGAAATATTCATTTCCAAGTGTCCCAACCTCATTTAATCCAAAATAGATAATTTGAATCAAATCATTTGATGTAAGACCTATTTAAAGAATCACCATACTTTTTGATGGATCTATAATTGTTAATTTATTTTCAATTTTCAAATAGAAACTATTCTTAGATAAATTGAATATAAACATTGTATCATAAAAAAATTCTCAAAAGTTATAGCTTTGCATAATACATATGCTCAAAAGTTCTTCAGCAAATAATTGATTCTCATTAAATACATCTTCTAGATCTATATTTTTGGTCAACTTGCACACTTTAATATGAGACCAAATCTTTGATTGTTGCAAAGAAGCATCAACAATCTCTTTTCTTAAGTCTTTAACAATAACAAGAAAAAATTGTTGAAAATTTCTACCAAAGACTACAATAATTCCGCCAAATAACTTATTAGTGTTATTTATATCTTAGAGAGTTTCATTGACTACCTCAAAATAATGGCAATGTTGTATTGATACCTTATTCTAAATAATAAGAATTATCTTTTTTAGGAAATTTGTGTATGATGCATTCTTTGTAATATTGCAAAATAAATCTTCATTAAGATAGAGCAAAATTTTAAACATAAAGTAAGTAGTTTTTTGACCACTTAAAAGTTGTGTTATAATTCTAGAAGAAGCAACATACAAAATAATATTTTCATCACTTTAGAACTTCATTTTTTTTTATATTATAAACAAATAATTTTCCACTTTTTGCTAGTTCTTTTAAAAATAAAACTTTTGAGGATTGTTATTTACTAAAGCAAAGATATCCAAGTATATGGTGCATTGTTCATTATTCAATTTAGACACATATTCTTTTACTATTTTTTTGGCTTGTCACAATCCTATATTAATTGCTTCAAAAATAATCAATTTGTAGCATTTTTATTCTAATTTATTTTCTGTATTAATATCTATAAAAAAACTGTTATTTTTCTTGATTCTTGAAGGAATTTAACAAGAAGAAACAATCTATAATCTAATTTCTTTTTTTTTATTAGATTTTTAGTTCCATAAATTGAGTCAATTGATAAGCTACATCATCACAAAAAAATTCTTTAAACTTGTTTCATAACTCTTTTGGATGTGCAAGTAAATATTATAGACAAATAATTGCAAACAATGTTCTTAATTGCCTCTTTTTTTTTTTTTTTTTATTATAAAGGATTTTTGTAAGAATTGATTTCACTCATTGTCATCCTCTAATAATCCTATTTCTAGGCATGCACTCTTGAAGTTTGGTTGAAGCACTCTATTTATAATATCCAAATCTTCAAATAAACATGGTTTATGTACCATTATTAAAAAAGGCCAAAGATAGAATCTTATTCTTGCAATAGAATCACCAAAATATAACCTTTTAATTGTAAATATATGTTGTTTTAATGTCTGCTTTTTGAAGTCTTTTTCTATATAAAATGATATAAAAATTCTTGATATTTATATTACCAAGCAATATTCATAAATCCATATATTTTAAAAAATGTTATCAAATTTTTTTTTTGCTACTTTCCATGGACTAAGTCTTTAGCTACATTATCATTTGGATAAAAAATTACTTAATGCATTCTAAGAAGATGCAATGCCAATTAAACCACATTTAAAACTTCTTCATGCATTTTTATTTCAAACAAATGCCATGCTATCTTTGAAAATCCAATATATCATGCATCAATATATTACTTGACTTTGTCTTCCTCATTTTCAATTTGTATTGTGGTACAATCATGCCCTTTGTAGATGTATTTGTTAATATATTTTATAGTACAAACCAAAGCACAAACCTCAATGTTAATATGACAATTAAATTTTTTTCTAAGAATGTAATTGTATGGAACAACAACTTGATTATCTATAATATGATTTTCAATATTGAAAGTTCTTCTATTATTCTTTCCATAATATTGGAAATAGCCATCACCCTTTATTGGTGTTACTTCTTGATATTATTTTAGATGTCTTTTTTAGTATGTTCCATCCTTCTTATATGGAGCTTGCATATTTTGAAGTCTACATGGACTATAAATTATGCAAGTACTAATTTTTTAAAATAAAAATAGATCATTTTTTTTAATAAAAAAATATTTCACAAATAATTTTATTAACATCAATGAATCTTTTTTTTTTTTTTTTTATTTTTTTTATTTTATTCAAATAGAATAAGAAGTGTATGTAGAAAAGACTTTGTTTGCAAACTCAATAGTATTATTTCTTATAAGCATATGTCTTAAAATGTCATGCTTATAAACATTTTCAATTAATTTACAACATTTGAGTTTAAATACTCTTGCTACTAAGTCAAGACGATTATCAAGCCTTTATCATAGAAAAATTGTACTTGAGATCTTTGAATAATATGGATTTGCTGTCATTGCCTTAAATATATTTGAATGTTGAAAGTATTAAGTAATGGCATAGAATCTTTGAAAATTTCAAACAAATTTCTTATATTTATAATATGAGACAATGGAAGAATTATCATGTGCCCTAGGTTCCGCATATCAATTTTTTGATTTTGTCCATGTCTAAAAATATCTACTAATCCTTGTTATATATCTGCCTAAATCCTATTTTGATTCAAATTGAAGTATCTGAACTATTTATGATCTATTGCTGCTCAAACATCTATAATAAGTTTTTGTAGCAACTTTCTATCTTATAAGATAGTCAAGTATTTGTTAAATTATAGAAACAATTGATATGATTAAAACTCTATTTGAATAATATGCACAATTTGTATATTTTTATTCCCATCTATATTTGT